CGGATATAAGAATCAGGGCCTCCTCCAATATCTCCTGGATAGCTAGGGACTTTATATAGCTGTAGGTACGCAGAGGGTTGTCATATTACCGTACTATAGAGAATCATGTGATCCGGTTACCGTGCCCAACGTCGCATAGTGATGGAAACGTTCGAGCTCGTCGTGTCACACGACGAGCTCGAGTATCTCACTTCAAGGTGGTCGGATTAAGAGCGCGTTTTGACAATAGTGCACCAGTAATGATTGCGAAACGTAGGGAATACATGCAAGTCCATAGGATGTGTATATATAACTAGTAATACTACTCCTCAGCATCACCATGAATTCCAAGGCGTGAAAAGTCATCCGCAACAAGGAGGACGTCCTGTAAACTCCTAGATACTTGCTCCACTACCTCGTCCTCTTCCTCCTCGCATCCAGGTCATCCTGGGTGTCTACGGCTAAGGACGATGCGGTGTGATGAACAGGCGGGGGTTGAACAATCATGCGGGTGGGGATCTGTGCATTAGCTATACTCGCGCTCTCGCCGGGACTTGTGTTCGCACTGACACCAGGGGTTAGCGTCCCTCTGAAACCTGGAAGCTTCGAAATGTCGTAGAGTCGTTTGAGATGTCGTGAGTTGAAGCGACCTCGAGTGTTTCGGTGGATGGCGATTTGATGTGCAAGGGCTGGGCTGGTGGCTTGTAACTGATTCTCGCATTCCCGTAGATACCTCTCTTCATCGCGTATATAGGTAATGAGGCGTCGTACCTCAATATCGAGACGCTCGATCTCTTCACAGCACGACACGTTTTGAAGTAGAGGTCCATCGCGCTACAGAGCAGCGGTCGATGACCACGGGTGTCGAGATATGTCCACGCACGTATCACGTAGTAAGTCGAAGTCTGCGAGGAACGCATACTCTACGACCTCATCCCACTTAAGCGTCCGGCGGGGAGGGTGCATTGACCCAGCAATAGTGTTGTATGTGGTGAGGGCAGTTCTGATGGCGACGGAACACATTGTAACGCCTTAGCGATATGCTTTCGCAGTTTGTAGCCTTGTTCAATGTTAGAATCAGCAAGCAATATACTACCTTTTACTCACCTGTGCCCGCACGGTTCATCCTCGTTAGCTCAAATATGCGTGCCACAATTAATCCTTCGAGACGGTCCAGGGCACGCTGGTATTTCCGATTGGCCACGAGCCTCCCAACCCTCTGCCACTCTCCATCGTGCGGAGTCCAGCGTTCTCGACCTCGAGCTTGCACTCCAGTGCCTGGACGAGCTTCAAATATCTCTCATGGTCCTCCAAAGCATGCCGTTCGGGCAGTCTCAGCGTTGCGAGTATTCTTGACGTGCGCATCGTATGGCACAGCCTCGAGGTGCGATGAGCCCTGGAATGATGTCATTGAAGCGCGTAGAATTTCCCTATGTAAATTGTGTCAGCGGGTACAAGGGCCATAGCTTGACATCGAAACTCACTCGCTCGCAGTAAGATTAACTAACTTCTGCCAATATTCCATCTGCAGAGTTTCGACCTCGGGTTTCTCGCAGTCCAGACTTTGAAGATATACCTTTTCTTCCGCCAGCCAGCCCTCGAAAACTGCTACGTCCGTAACTTTGAGATCTCGCATAGGTTTGGTAGGGTCGCGTCTCCGTCGCTCAAGATATCAAGCGCCTGCTTGTAATTGTTTGTATAAAAAGTCGGCTAGCAAACACAAATATTACGTCAGCACACAGTCAAGTTTGACGACACGACGGAGAGGCTTACAAAGATTAGCGTAGACTTCAAAATCATCATTGTGCTCGAGTAGGTGTCGATGGCCCTGTTGTCTATGGAAGACGCTTGCGTACCGTAGTGCCGACGCTAAGGAATTGGATTTTGAAAACGTCCTGTTAGCAAGTCTCGAGATCTTCGAGTCCTAAACCTTGATGTAAGTGGTAAGCGAGTACAGTTGGCACAATCGCCGGTGCGCATGTCCGTGGAAGGCGCCGACAAGACAAGTGTTGATGCATAGACCGTGCGAGGGGTCCGAGGGAACTGTTGTCCAAGCGTGGTCTTGAATTGACATCCAATGTCATATCCACCGCCCAGATTGCTTCCAAATACGTCCAGCAACTTTGAGACAATGGCTAGAGGATACTTTGCGCTGATAGATAATCATTAGCTCGTGAACAACGCATTAAAAAAAATGTAACGTACAGCTCCCCGCTCTGTACCATATCTGCAACAAGGAGAGAGAATCCGTGGCGGCACACGGCCACAAAAATGCCCGTTTCATCGTAAATGCCCCATGCTTTCTTGGTCTTCGTATCGTCCATGTTCTTCCAGCGTGCTTCGCACAAGTTCTCGAGATGTGCGTCCTATAGGTTAGGGTATTAGCCATCACCAACCCGGATGGAAAGCACTCACCTCATCACCTGCAGTAGTGGAGTCCCTGCGCGAACTGATCTACAAAAGTGCGGGATAGGTAGCGGGTCACTTGCCAGTTGCTGCCCTGTTGGAAGTTCTGAAGATGTACCGAGGGACTCGTCAGTATCCAAGGATCTTCGAAGGACTCTTTTTAAAGAGTCGTTACCGTCCATAGCGTAGAGTAAGCTAAATGTCAACTCGGGTTCATCCGTCAGTTTATATGTACATGCGGGACAGGCGTGTTTCACGTGCCAATCAGGCGTGTTGTGTCGTAACGATTCGGCTACCATGGCTGCCCGGAGCGTCGAACTTGAAGATATAAATCGAACGCATCGAGAATTGTCGAGATAGATGTCTGTGGAAACTAACCTGCGCGTGAATCAGCACGATAAGAACCAAAGAAATCAGAAGACATACACCATGTAAGTCGCACATAGTCTTGACGAAAGCTGGATAGACAATTGAGGGCTCCTAAGATGTGCTACACGGTATAAGTCCAGAGCTTCGGTGGGTGATCCCCGACAGTCGGTGATATTGGTGAACAAGGCATCACGCCTTGACGAACGAGCGCACTGCTGATAGTGGCGTCTGCTGGCAAGATTCGAAGAATGACTTTCTCAGTGTCTAAACAATATGCCGTCATCAAATCGTAAGCAAACGACAACAGACCGACTTACTCACAGAACACGTCTATCACGCTCATCGGCCACTGACCATAGTCAAAGCCATCCAGCCCTAGGTTCTCCCTCTCCAAAACCCTTCCTTACATTTTGCCAGGCTCCACGCAAGGTACGCGTCCGTTATCACTGGCAGCTGCTCAGCAAACGCCTTGTTCCTACGGAGGACACGATCACGACGGGTGCGGTTATCCACCCATCAAACACGATTGTTGCTGCTCGCAAAGGTAAGTCAAATGTGAAGGTCATGACAAATTCACTCACGTTTTCCAAAAGTCTCCTAGAACCTCTCTTGCAAGGTCAGTGAACTCGCCACCAGCATGGCTGATGGCGAGCGGCTCTGTTCCATCGCAGATGTTACCAAAGCTGAAGTCATCGTAGTCATCCTGCCAGCCATCGATGGTGCTATTATTGTCCTCTTTCAGCGCTTCGAGTGCCCGACGCTCATCCAAACTCATAGCTATACAAAAGGTTTTTTTTTCCCCTTCCAAGTATTGAATTAACATAGCATACCTTGTAGACGTGCTTGCCGCCGCTCATTGGAACTTGCTGCTTGCTGGACCAACTGCCTGTGCTTGAGTACTTTGGAAATGGAGTTGGCTGGCAATCTGTTGTTGTCCCTCGGTGCCCTGATGTGCCGAACCGATCGCAGAGAGATATTTGTGCGGACTCGCTGACGTGCTGCATTTTTTCGCGCCATTCAGACCTATCTAAAGTTTGTACTACTGTCACAGTCCGATCTATTTCTCACGTGACTGATTATAGACTGTCTAGCACTCTGACCAAGCCGTTCGTGAGATCGCTCCTATGTCAACACCATCCAGTGGCCGCCCTACCCAGGGTGGCCATATTCAAGACCTGCACAATTTGCTGCAAGGTATGACACTGTCAGGTGCGTCTTTCAACAATCCAGAAATTAATACACTGACACTCGATATAGATTCATCATTCGATACCGTGACTTGGAGCCGCAAGACCACGGAAGAGTCCATCAGCCTGTCGAGATCATCGTTCACGCCGTCCACGTCCACCAGCACTCGTTCCGTTCCGAAGAACAAAGCACCCATTCCCCCTTCCACTTCAGCTCGCTCTACTGCTACACCATCCCACCCTCATCCTCAAGCTTCATCGATGGTTGTGCAGACACCCCGCCAAGTCACGGCCTCCATTCCGATTCCTAGTGCCATCCGTCCTCCACGAGCCGATCAGACACCCGAAGGATTCTGGGTGATAACGGTTGGGCAGGAAGTTGGTGTGTTTTACCGCTGGTAAGTGTGACGTGTACTATGGGTACCTGTTGGCTTGTGTTGGCTAATTCTTGACAATGTTGTTAGGGCTGATGTTGCCGAACGAACAAATTTTATCAGCGGTAATATTCAAAAACGATACACATCGTTTCAGCGGGCATTAGCAGCATATACAGCCAGCTATGATGAAGGCAGGGTCCGGGCGGTTCCACTGGCAGGTGGCCCTTTCTGGCCATCCCCTCCAGAGTCCTCGCCCAACCCTCCTTCACCTACATTGTCTATGGGCTCATCTGCGAGTGAAGACTCACTATGGTTGCAGGTCGAAGACTTGACGGAGACAATGAGCCAGCTTTAATACTATATCGTTTACGTTGTGCGCTGTGATGTGCGCTGTATATGTATTAGAATGACAAAATGAACACGCGAAACGCGCCTTACTCGTTATACCAGAGCCATACATTTGTTGGAATATTCATTGATAGTGTAGAAATCCAGCGTGCACAGAAAATCATCATATGTTGGTCAGTGTGTCACTAGCACAATTGCATCATGCATCAACCGCTACATACAACCCTGTCATATTCATAACATTCTGCATGGAATCACCACAACATTTTACAGCTTCGGCTCAAGTATGCATGTCTACCTATTCCTAATAAACACCTCACCATGTTCAATATTTTTCAACAGTGTTGCATTCGCGAGCCCGAGCATCCGTACACTCATGTTCGCTATCTGTTCGCTATCTGTTCGCTATTGTTCGCTATCCGTTCGCTATCCGTTCGCTATCGTTCGCTATGTTCACTGCTGGATCATCTCAGAAAGCTCTTTGCAAAGACGGATTCCCTCTTGATTGACTACGATAATCTACTATTTATAATGTTCATTATCTAGTTTCACCTCCATGAACTTTACCTCTGAAATCACGGAAACCAGTAAGTCGTATAGTAGAATGCTGTCATACTTAAGACGCTCCCTGCAATAAGGGCAACTGGTGTGTACAATCTCCCTTATGGCTTCCAGGATCTTCCTCCCCTCCAAAACATGCAGCGCACATTGGTCCAAGAAAATGTCAGTCTCACTTTCCCCCTCCACCCGAGCGTGTGCGAGTGCTTCCTCGTATACTTCTCTCCATGTATCTTCTGCTACCAACCATACCAACCACTCCTTTCGCCACCTCTGGACGATTCTCTCTGTCGAATTTAGCGTTTGAGAGTCGCAGGGGCAAGGTAAGTCGTTATCCATCGTGAGCACTGAATCGTCGTTGGTGTCCCAGGACAGGTCTTCGCAGTTGTCGACTGATGATGTGATGGTGGAATCGTCGTTGGCGTCCCAGGATAGGTCTTCGTAGTTGTCGACTGATGATGTGATGGGTGCCACTGTTTGATCTTCGATCATTTTTTTTTTCTTCCTGTAGAGTAATTAAGTAAATGACGCCCATGGCAATATACGAGACCTTACCTTGCCCTATTGCTAAAAGAAATCATGTGAGCACGAACAGGTAGAGTTGTGTGGGGGATGGACTCACAACGCTACTCGAGCACGAGCCTTGGCGTTTTGAGCTTCTCGAACTCTGTGCAGGGGTGGTAAGCAAAATTTCAGTGACTCAAAAAATCGACCTACCCTGGCTTCGAGAGCCAACGTTGCGTAGCTGTGCGCTGCCTGGATGATAGGCCGCGTGATGGCCCCTGAGTCGAACGTCTCTGTGAATGCACAAGTTAGACGTGCAGATTGAAATGTGAAGAATTGTGCTTACCATGATTTGGGGGGAAAGGAACGAGGGGCACGGTGCCATAAGACATCGACAACTACTACTAAGAGTAATCCACATAATATTTTTTGACATCGACAGCTGGCAATGATCGAGATGATCGATGATATATGCACGGTAAATTGTTAAGCGCTTGTCAGCGGAAGCAATATGTGCTTACTAATGAGTTGTTGGTCCAAGTTTAGGCATTGCAGCCTTAACACTGATGCGTGGTCTGAGTCTGTTTCATTGTCTTCCTTTGGCACGCTAGACATGCAACCACAGCCAATAGAATACTGGAATTCCGGCTTTGCAGCCAAAATCAAGCTCCAGACCTATGGTTGGAATTTGGACTCTGCTGGAATGGACACCCAGTATGTCAAAAGGTATGTAGCGGGTTTGTACCTCCTGAGCCACATTGACCTGGCTGATGGTTTTTATACAGATGCAAGTCCAAGGCATTCTATTGTCTCGAAGGCCCGCGCATCGTGACGAATTGCCGTTGCACTCTTGAAGGCCTGCGCATTGTGATGAATTGCCGTCACACTCTTGTTCCTGGTTGGCTGCTAACCCCGCTCCTCCTCACTCATCAAAATAATATTAACCTCACTCATCACGCCGGCATTTACCTTGACGAATATATCACCTCCCTCACTCGTCATACTGGCATTCCCCCCCTCACTCGTCAAAGTGGCATTTACCTGGATGAATACATTTCCTGGACGGACGCATTCCAGCCGAGCTATGCCATATCATGGAGACCCGAGTTGCGCAATATTGAAGGTATGCACTGATCAGCACTGCATTGCACTGCCTCTACTAATATGTGCCTAAGCGGTTTCATGTCAACCTCAAGATCTTACACCGATTTATGCATATTTTTTTTTCAAACAAATGGCGTTGAATGATAGGACGTGCGCAACGCGTTGCGTGTCGTGTTTTTGCGTGATCTAACTGATCCATCGCATGCCAAACTTTGATGCCGTGTCCCCGTCTACATCGTTCGTTTGTGTGATCTATACGATCCATCAGATGCCAAAGTTTGAAGATACGTCCCCGTCTACACATTTTTCACTCACAGCTCTAAGTATGAGCTACCTCTACACATCCGATGATTTTAACGCCAACGGCGATTTTATCTCAGCCGGAGGTTTTCTGGATTTGCTTCCTGGGGGGGGAGGTATACTTCCCAGCTACCCATACCCAACAGGCGACGATTCCGATCCGATCAGCAGCACTGGCAGTGAATGGGTTCCCGGGATCAGTCAGATGAACTGGGATGACCCGTCCCTGTACACAATGCCACTTACCAATGACGAAATCGCGGCTCTAACTAATGACATAGCAGCCACAAATATCCCAACCGTGCCAGAGCTCCCCGCCCCCCCACCAGTTGCCTTCGCAAATACCCTCCCTGCTCGCACACCGTCACCTCAGCCTACCTCAACGCATGACCCAGACTCACCGAGTCCTGCCGAAGCAGAGGCGCCAGACACCAGTGGAGAGATGCCAGAGTCACTCCGTGAGGCAAACATGTCCTCCTGGGCAGCACGGAACCCAACACGAGCGATTATCCGCCCTCGGACACCACCACCTCGACTAACAGATGCCCAGAAGGCGTCTTGAAAGATCAAGCGGGACCAGAGGCTAGAGAGAACGAAGCACTTACACGACGCAGTTGCTGAATACTTAGATGCACAGAAAACGAAGATCGAAGCGCTCTCGCGGGCTCATCATGTTACTCCCAAGCACATCAACGATATCATCGGCAGTCAGACTCATTATCGAACCTCGCGCAAGAGTCAATTAATCAATGCACTTGTTCACGTCAAGGCGAAAGAGATGAACGCAGGTGAGTCAAATGAATTTCAACTCAATTGTATCACGAAGCTTATCCTGCATCAACTAGACCGACCCGCAGGCGCTCGGTACTCGTTGGCGGAACTCCGCCAGATGGTTGCGTCCGACCCTGAAACAAAAGCCCTTACCAGGGAAGAAAAGGAACGCTACATCGCAGCTCTCGAGGAGCATCGTGAAAAAAAGGTCATTAGTGTTCGGGCGAACAATCTGGCGGCTGCACGAGATGTTGTAGCCACAACGGATAGGATCGTCAAAGAGGTACGTCTGAATCTTCAATCTTCACAGCAATCAACTGAATTCATTTTTTTCTTTGAAGCTGGATGATCTGCGAGTTCGGACTGGTGTCTATGGCACACTATTTGTTGTCCGCAGTCACATTAACGATAGCATTCAAAGCGCTATGCACGGCACGGATAACTCTGAAGACTTTTGGGAGGATGTGTACGAGCATCCTATGGCTGACTTTCTTAGGCAATACGAACAATGGGCATGCACCCAGAATCAAAGTAAGTCCTTCGTCTCTTCACATAGTTTGTGTACTTATGCATCGTCCGGTAGATCTCAATGAACGCAACTCTTTGGAAGCTGTAAGAAAGCAAGTACGCAAGATGATCCTCCGGGGCCTAGGTGAGTATCGACGTTCTACAAATTCTGCCCCGTCTAACATTATGCACAGTTGCTGTGACCGGCAAAAAAGATATTGTGATGAACTACCACAACTATGAAACATCCGTCATCGAAACGTATGGGGTGCGCCTTGTGGGCTGGCCCAATGGTGTCAAGTTCACTAGCCCTTCGAACATCGGGACCGTCGGCGACATTCGCAAGCTCCGGGATGCCCTCAAGGCACGTACGTGCTACTGGACAGTTCTATCACCGGCAGAGCTCAAAGCTCACGCGTCTGAACTCGACACGCAACGTTCAGCCGGGGAAGTCGTTCGGAAGCCACGAAAAAAGTGTTCGGATGCTGGCGTACCTCGCAAGCGTAAAGACGGGTCCAGCGCAGGACGGGTAAACAAGGAGAATATCAGGCCTTCGAAGAGAGCAAAGAAGAACTCTACCCAGCTGCAGGAAGGTCCCAAAAGCGCTGAGTTTGTAGAGTCTTCTGACGAAGAGGAGGAGGGGCATGAGTAGTAGTATTGCATTGCCTTAGTCTACATTGTATGACTCATATACGTATCCCAATCATTACTAGTGAATTGTTTGTCAAAACGCGCTCTTAATCCGACCACCTTGAAGTGAGATACTCGAGCTCGTCGTGTGACACGACGAGCTCGAACGTTCCCATCACTATGCGACGTTGGGCACGGTAACCGGATCACATGATTCTATTAATAGTACGGTAATACTGACAACCCTCTGCGTACCTACAGCTATATAAAGTCCCTAGCTATCCAGGAGATATTGGAGGAGGCCCTGATTCATTATATCCGCCTGATCTTACAGGTGCGACACACGTGCATTATCACCTATAACTACAGTGCTTACGTGGGAGTCACAGGTGCGGGTATCAGGATGAGGGTTGGGGTATGGATGCATCCTCCTAGTTGGCGTGTGGAAAATCAGCTAAAGGCTGGCTAAACGAACCAAAACTAGACTCACACCTGGCAGTGCATACCACGCACACCTGTGACTCCCACGTAAGCACTGTAGTTATAGGTGATAATGCACGTGTGTCGCACCTGTAAGATCAGGCGGATATAATGAATCAGGGCCTCCTCCAATATCTCCTGGATAGCTAGGGACTTTATATAGCTGTAGGTACGCAGAGGGTTGTCAGTATTACCGTACTATTAATAGAATCATGTGATCCGGTTACCGTGCCCAACGTCGCATAGTGATGGGAACGTTCGAGCTCGTCGTGTCACACGACGAGCTCGAGTATCTCACTTCAAGGTGGTCGGATTAAGAGCGCGTTTTGACAAACAATTCACTAGTAATGATTGGGATACGTATATGAGTCATACAATGTAGACTAAGGCAATGCAATACTACTACTCATGCCCCTCCTCCTCTTCGTCAGAAGACTCTACAAACTCAGCGCTTTTGGGACCTTCCTGCAGCTGGGTAGAGTTCTTCTTTGCTCTCTTCGAAGGCCTGATATTCTCCTTGTTTACCCGTCCTGCGCTGGACCCGTCTTTACGCTTGCGAGGTACGCCAGCATCCGAACACTTTTTTCGTGGCTTCCGAACGACTTCCCCGGCTGAACGTTGCGTGTCGAGTTCAGACGCGTGAGCTTTGAGCTCTGCCGGTGATAGAACTGTCCAGTAGCACGTACGTGCCTTGAGGGCATCCCGGAGCTTGCGAATGTCGCCGACGGTCCCGATGTTCGAAGGGCTAGTGAACTTGACACCATTGGGCCAGCCCACAAGGCGCACCCCATACGTTTCGATGACGGATGTTTCATAGTTGTGGTAGTTCATCACAATATCTTTTTTGCCGGTCACAGCAACTGTGCATAATGTTAGACGGGGCAGAATTTGTAGAACGTCGATACTCACCTAGGCCCCGGAGGATCATCTTGCGTACTTGCTTTCTTACAGCTTCCAAAGAGTTGCGTTCATTGAGATCTACCGGACGATGCATAAGTACACAAACTATGTGAAGAGACGAAGGACTTACTTTGATTCTGGGTGCATGCCCATTGTTCGTATTGCCTAAGAAAGTCAGCCATAGGATGCTCGTACACATCCTCCCAAAAGTCTTCAGAGTTATCCGTGCCGTGCATAGCGCTTTGAATGCTATCGTTAATGTGACTGCGGACAACAAATAGTGTGCCATAGACACCAGTCCGAACTCGCAGATCATCCAGCTTCAAAGAAAAAAATGAATTCAGTTGATTGCTGTGAAGATTGAAGATTCAGACGTACCTCTTTGACGATCCTATCCGTTGTGGCTACAACATCTCGTGCAGCCGCCAGATTGTTCGCCCGAACACTAATGACCTTTTTTTCACGATGCTCCTCGAGAGCTGCGATGTAGCGTTCCTTTTCTTCCCTGGTAAGGGCTTTTGTTTCAGGGTCGGACGCAACCATCTGGCGGAGTTCCGCCAACGAGTACCGAGCGCCTGCGGGTCGGTCTAGTTGATGCAGGATAAGCTTCGTGATACAATTGAGTTGAAATTCATTTGACTCACCTGCGTTCATCTCTTTCGCCTTGACGTGAACAAGTGCATTGATTAATTGACTCTTGCGCGAGGTTCGATAATGAGTCTGACTGCCGATGATATCGTTGATGTGCTTGGGAGTAACATGATGAGCCCGCGAGAGCGCTTCGATCTTCGTTTTCTGTGCATCTAAGTATTCAGCAACTGCGTCGTGTAAGTGCTTCGTTCTCTCTAGCCTCTGGTCCCGCTTGATCTTTCAAGACGCCTTCTGGGCATCTGTTAGTCGAGGTGGTGGTGTCCGAGGGCGGATAATCGCTCGTGTTGGGTTCCGTGCTGCCCAGGAGGACATGTTTGCCTCACGGAGTGACTCTGGCATCTCTCCACTGGTGTCTGGCGCCTCTGCTTCGGCAGGACTCGGTGAGTCTGGGTCATGCGTTGAGGTAGGCTGAGGTGACGGTGTGCGAGCAGGGAGGGTATTTGCGAAGGCAACTGGTGGGGGGGGCGGGGAGCTCTGGCACGGTTGGGATATTTGTGGCTGCTATGTCATTAGTTAGAGCCGCGATTTCGTCATTGGTAAGTGGCATTGTGTACAGGGACGGGTCATCCCAGTTCATCTGACTGATCCCGGGAACCCATTCACTGCCAGTGCTGCTGATCGGATCGGAATCGTCGCCTGTTGGGTATGGGTAGCTGGGAAGTATACCTCCCCCCCCAGGAAGCAAATCCAGAAAACCTCCGGCTGAGATAAAATCGCCGTTGGCGTTAAAATCATCGGATGTGTAGAGGTAGCTCATACTTAGAGCTGTGAGTGAAAAATGTGTAGACGGGGACGTATCTTCAAACTTTGGCATCTGATGGATCGTATAGATCACACAAACGAACGATGTAGACGGGGACACGGCTTCAAAGTTTGGCATGCGATGGATCAGTTAGATCACGCAAAAACACGACACGCAACGCGTTGCGCACGTCCTATCATTCAACGCCATTTGTTTGAAAAAAAAATATGCATAAATCGGTGTAAGATCTTGAGGTTGACATGAAACCGCTTAGGCACATATTAGTAGAGGCAGTGCAATGCAGTGCTGATCCCCAGTGAAAACCCAACATGACGAGGTCGGGTGCCACCGGACGACATATGATTTGTTTTTCCGTACTAGGAAATTTTCCAAGCTGATCAGACTTCACTCGAGCGAGTCGCATATGTTACATGATGGGGCAGGGTTTCCCATGTGCATATCGTATTTTTATTGTAGTTTGCGTATTTCATCTGATTCGAGCAGATTTGCCAATAGAAATCCAAATACAATGAATTGCGACGACATCGGACAGGACAGGACGACATGGGATGTAACAGTAGACAGCAATTACAGTAAATAGCAGGCTGCGGGGCGGGGCAAAACAATATGAAAGCCGGGGGAGAAAACAGAACAGCAGACAAGGAGAAAAGCAAAGCAAAGTAGCAGAAAACATACTAGTATAGCGCACCTTCGCAGACGACACGATCAGAAGCTTTGGTCCACGTCCCTGCGCTCTGCAACCGCTCGACGTCAGCCTTATATTCGTCCTGTTGCGCGGGTGTGAGGGCAGCCCAATACATGCAGAATTCGTCTGTCGTGCCGCTCGTTTTCACTTGCTTCAACCAGCGCAATGCACATAAGTTTCTGCAAAGATAATTAGCATGAAACACTAAAAAATTGTTGAAACTTACCGTGCATTCTTTGCTACACCTGGGCGCATCTTCTTCTTCGAGGCCTTGTTGTCTGATGGTACTTTTAATGCGGCTGGTCCGTCATCTGTTTTCTTGATTGGGCTATGTGCAGGGGCAGGGATCGTCTTGGCGATTCCACGAGGCCCGAAAATATTGGCGCTTCGAGAGTAGTGGAGTTAGTAAGGACGAGAGTAGAGTTACAATAGTGTCCTACAGTGGGTTTTGTAATACAAACTCGTTCTCCTTGTTGGCACCTTGCGCACTGTGAGACATTGATGTGTGACGAGTTGGTGAAAATTCAGTCTCGCGTGCAGGAGATCTGGGCGGAGGCGAATCTTGCCGAGATGGCTGTGGCAAGTACACTCCGAACGGCGGGACGGATGCATCGCGTGGACGGGGTAGTTTGTTGAGAATATGATCTTCAAGGGGGAGAGAATCGTTTATGGGTGAAGAGGAATGGCCGTTGGCGCTGCGAGGCTCAGAATCTTGATCCAGTAGGAGACTCGGGCTCGGAAGTGCATCTCGTAGCTCTGATGTTAGTATATGAGAAAAAAGAAAGAATGACGCATACCTTTTATAACCGTCAACTGCAGTGGAGATGCTGCTATATCAACATTAGAATGAGAATTAGGAAAATGCTGACGCATACATTTGAAGTTTTTCCGGCCGTCTTGATGGGCCAGGCTTTCGCTATCATCCGACAGCTGCCGCTTGCCGTTTTTGTTGCGAACAGTACATTTTGATTCCGATGTGACAAGGTCCGAGTCATCTTCTACAAGCTCTTCCTTGGCCAAAAGTTTTCCTGGTGCGTCCTTCCAGTTCCCGTCAGTCCCAAGATTGTTTTTTCGCCAGGATGAGTAATCGTTAATGCAGAGTAGCTCGAGCTTCCAGCAGTCGTTGTCCAACTGGAACAATGGAAACTGTTTCACCACGATGTCGAATACAAGCTTCTTGCCGGTAGCGCAAATCCTCGACCAGGTAGGAGGGGCCATCTTCTGAATAACTAATTCAGCCCATGCCGCGCGAACGGCCTTACGAATGGCCCTAAGTTGTTCGACAGGTACAGGCCCCCCGTCTTCCAACTCAAGCCAAGGGGCTTTACCCCGAGTTCCAGAACCAGACTCTGCATTCTCGATATACTTGTCGTAATCAGTTCGAGTCCAGAAACGAATTTTCGGGTGAGATTCTCTCGACGGACGAAGGACCTTGTTGTGTCCTGTCAAAGCGCTGCTTGTCAGGCTGAAATTGAGTGGGTCGGTGCTCTCAGGGAGTCGCAGAACAGCAATTAGCTCCCCGAAAGATGCCCTATAAATGAACGAGACACGGTTTTAATTTAAATACCAGGGTAAACGAAACTTACTTGATAGTATCACGTTCTGTCGTTGTCTTACATAGCTCGAGTTGGGTTTCACTCAGTTTGGCTTGGTATAGAGATAGCTGTTCCTGTAAGACATGAATCTGCTGGAAATTTGGGGCGACTGAGTGCATATATGCACCCTAGACTCAAATGTGGGAGCTGAAGATATCAGAAACTTAAAAGACTCACACGAGAGAAACTGCTGGCAGAAGGAGTCGCTGCGAAAGAGTGCGTGTCGTTGAATAAGTCCGGCAAAGCTTGAGGAATCATTGGAGACAGGGGAGTGCGAGTTTTTGACATAGAACTTTGGGCTGTTTCTGGTGCATGCAACGATGAAGTCAAAAAATCATGCGAGAATCTAGTGGATCCATAAGAGAAATCTGTGTTAGACATTGTGATGGTAGCAGAACGAAAGTGTTGGTGGGGTTGTGCTCGGGTTGAACAAGTTGTAAGAAGCTACGTCATCAAAAAATTACAAACATATCTAGACTTTGCGGATTACGCATCTTTCTGAACAATTATCATGAGCTTACCTTTGCTACGCTTTCTGCAAATACCTTTTGATGACATCGATTTCGACAATGTTGTCCTCAGCGATCCAAGCTTAACAGAGAGCAGCAACAGTCCCCGATTGACAGCTTCTGACGAAATGGTTCTCAATCCTGCATACTGGTTTAGCCACCCTCCTCGATACCGCTATCTTATGCAACGAATTTCTACTCTACTGCCTACTCTACAGGCATCTGCCTCAAGCACAGAGGACCAGAGTTGGGTTGCAGCACTGTCGGTTTTCATCTATTTCTCTCGATGAAATTTTAACACCATCTAATCTAACTTAAAAGTTTTGCCAAGGACGTGCCAGCTGCTATGACACCAAAGATCCTGACCACAGATGGTGCTGACTCCATTACCGATCCTGAATCTGAAGATATCACCGTGACCCCATCTATTTCCACTCCCACCACTGTCGCAACCACAACAACAATCCCACCTGCAGACGATGACTCCACTACTGAGCCTGATTCTGACGCAGAAATCGTGACCCCTGGCATTTCTACTCTGACGGCTGTGATCGAAGTCAATTCAGGGCCATGCATGGACCCAGGCTCAACAACTGAATCCGAATCCGATGAAAATGTCCCGTTGGCTGCACCAGTTGTACCACCACATCTTGATCGTCTTGATTCACGCTCCTTCTTCGCTACACCAAGTCCTCCTCCCCCGGATTCAATCTACTGGAAGTACATCACACGTGAAGAAGACTCGAAGTGGTATGACCGTGCAGGTACTGATAGTAGCTTTTCAGCTGTGCGTCACAGGAAACAGGAATTGCAGGCATTGATGGACAAATGAGGCGTTGTTAGATAATGATGAATAACAAGCTTTTTATCACTGCAGCACCGAGGGACGTGAATATCGCAAACACGATTGGTATGTTCTCGTTTCTTACTGTTTTGTCTCTCTGCTTTGGACTTCGTGCCTTCGCAAACTCGGACTGTCAGAGTTGCAGCAGAATTACTAACCGTTTGCGTTAAACTCTTCACCACCATAATCTACTTGCACAATTGTTTCTTTGCCTTCCGCATCTGTGCTACAACTTGCAAGGAAAGCGCCGGGTGATGAACTAGTATACCTTCTTCTCGCCTCGTAACTAACTAAAGAGCCTCCCCGCTAACCTCCAGTACAACAAACCCTGCCTCATCTGCTCCAAACTCGACCTAAAACTCGAGGACCACACTAAGCACCTCCATTATCCTCGCCAGCCTCTGCTTCTTGTTCGTCCAGCTGATCGTGTTGAGCTGCGGGTCCTTCGTACGGGACACCAAACGTCGCAATATCAAGGCCGGGCTTTTCCACCATGAAATAACGATCCTCGGTAACACCAGACGGAAGAGTTGGTTTATGGGGGACCATACCAACCACACCAACAATAGACTTGATATCAATGACACGAACATCATCGTCTTCAAGTCGACACGAGCTGACGGTATGGCAGGATAATTTGAGGAGGTCGTTGTCTGGGAGTGAGAACATCGAGATGATGGCGACGTCCTTCCAGACCCAAATTTGGTTGTCGTCGTCGTCAATACCAGCTTCAACAGGTAATCGCGTGAAGTATAGGACTTCAGCGACTCGGGTTTCGCCTTCGATAACGATCTTCAAGGATATTGGTGAGTTATGGACAACAATGGTATGGATACTAACTACCTTGACGTGTCGTGCAGGACGCACTTTTTCAGGTGGGCGTTCGGCTTCCCTCCATGCAGTGCGTGCTATCTGTCCATTCGGAAGACGTACACGAGCCCACCGGTGGATTTTGAAGTTACGACGCCGGTGACCAAGATATTGAAAAATTGCTTCGGCACCTGGTTCTCGAGGAACCATTGGCCGTGAATCTCGCTTATGCAAGAGAATATATCCGTCTCCGAGATCGATAGCTGTGGTCGGAAAGGGGGGCTTGTCGGGGGAAAGATCAGGCATCATTGCCTTTAGAGCATTGACTTGGCATCGTCGGACGCCCTCTCGTGATAAGTTGGCATAGGGATTGGAAGGTTGGCGAATTTCTTGCCCGAGGTTGCCAATGGTACGTTCCATGGTCCATTGAGAATAGCAGATGGGAGGCCCTTTCTTGATAGTCTCACGTACGAGGTGGCTGACTTGGTGCACACAGGGTTGAATGAAATGTAAACGTTCCGCACGGCGCTGATAGTAGAGCGTCTCGAATTCGAGTTCCCACTGAGTGAACAAGGCTTGAGCGGTACGAGCATCTTCACGGCTGATAGAATGCTGATTAATCAACTGAAATCCACGTACGAGCCTGCAATAGTTTAACCAATATGGTCGGGGAAGGATATCGAATAGTAGCGCCGGGCCAAGACCGAATATGTAGACTTGATACTCCCACGTTTTGTAACCCGAATTGATTTTTTCAGCGGGATTTCTTGGTTTTCGGTCGAAGGACCCTGGGAGATGCTGCGCTGCACTAGAAATGGCCTCTCCATGGGTTTCCCAGGTCTCGGCATCGCGAAAGATTGCCCAGGGCCACATTGAGACATGATCGGGAAGGGTGTGGTCCATTGTACCGCGCCATAATGACAACAAGAGGTCGGAGAGTAGTTGTGCGAGGTGCATGATATCGGGAGTAAGACAATTTGGAATTCCAAGGGTGTACGATGGGTGTAAGCCGAGTAGAAGGGAAGGTTTCGTGATTCCTGTTTGAGTTCGCAGCTTGCGATACTGGCGGGTGTTTGGTGCGGCAACGAGTTTCAGAAGGTTGTCGAAATATTCAGTGAGGTCAGGATCGTGCAACTCGTAGACACTGATATCGGGGTGATTACTGCCGGCGACAGCATAACGATGGGGGATTAGCAAGGCAGGGTAGTAATGGGTTCCCTTCCGACGACCGAGTAATCCGCAGTACACTCGACACCCATTCTTTCCACTGTGCCCCACCATACCATCAAAATACACAAGCCCGGGTCCGTCTGCGGTAACGAAGATAAGAAACGGGTTGGAAATAAATACGATGTCGCGCCATGCGTCCCAGATACGAAGGCCTTCGTTCTGCAAGGCAGCTAAGTGGTGCATACCGGGAAATAGGAATGAGTCGACGTTCTTTGGCTTGTTGGGTCCTGGGATGAAACCTCCAGGAAGCACGTATTGCTTCTTGTATCGTCGATCGGGAGCGTGGTTCATTATGACCCAGATATAGATCCAGCAGTCGGATAGTTTGGACTCGTACAACTGCGCGCCGTCGAGTGATATCATCAACACAACATCATCGGGCTTAATATCACCCCGTTGAACAGCCTCTATAAATTCACGGCCCTTGCAGAAGTCGTCGAAAACATCGACGACGCCACCATTGGCTCGAAGTGTTTCAAACAAGCGCCGTGTTACTTCCCGCAGATAGCCCATCGCTTGAGCTTAATCAGGATCACGCCACAGTGCTTGTAGTTGTGCACCGAGGGGAATAGTCACAAACTTCTGACGTGCGACGTGCATTCGACCACCACTAGTACGAAGCTTGATGGGATCGTAGCGGTCTGCATCACAGATAGGACAATTTTCGAGTTCGGCAAAGGGACCCGTGAATGCGACACAGGTGTCCGGGCACATGTCGTGCTCAATCGACTCCACTCCAGTGTACTCTGCAATCAGTCGTTCAATATTATGGTAACTAGGTACATTGGCTGCGTCGCCATCAAAGGATCGCATAGCGGAGCGTCGGATAGTCTCGTACGCATTGATTGCAGAGTGTTCTAATGCGAAGTACGATGTAATCCCATGCCGAACAGCACTGCTGTTGATTTCGAGACGTGTCCGGTATGGATTCCGCAATCGGCTCAATGCAGCATCATCCAATTTTGCGACTGCATCATCCAAGGACGCCCCCCGCAATAGCTTTATGAAGGCTATGGCATCTTTCTGCTTCTGCAGAATAGCAGCCTCCTCGAGCCTATCTATGTCAAAGACACGGTGGAGGGGCTCGTTGGGTGGTATGTGGGGCTCGTTGGGTGGTATGTGGGGCTCGTTGGGTGGGGGGGTGTTGTGTGGGGGAGGGTGTGGTGTTTGGGGCTCGTCTAGTGGGAGCTCGTCTAGTGGTGGTATATCAGGCTCGTCTGGTGGTATGCGGGGCTCGTCTGGTGGTATGCGGGGCTCGTCTGGTGGTATGCGGGGCTCGTAAGGGTCCCCGACCTCAAAACCATGATCTACTCCACCAGGAGGATCATACTCCAGCTCGACTTGTCTGTCGAGCTGCTGGGGAGGGTCTGAATGACCCTGTTCGAGGTCTGGCCCTTGGGCAGGCTGCATACAAAGGCAGTCAGTAATTCATTGAATAGTCACGAAAATTAGATGTACTTGGACTTGTGCGCGAGCACGTTTGCCCTGTCCAACCCGAGAACCCTCTAATTCACCAGTCCCTTGTTTGATAAGATATCGATGAGCTTGAAGCCGGCGTGTGGACTGAGGAAGGGGTTGTGTATCTGAATTGCTGTGAAGAAGGTTAGAAATACAGTCAGACACTTGGTCAAAAGAAACATACCCTTGCATTTGTACAATGTCGATACGACACAGTCGCAATGCCCAACGGAAGTGCGCACGTAGTGCAAGAGAACGATGTGAGAACGATGTGAGAACGATGTGAGAACGATGTGAACGATGCGAACGATACAAGAATGATGTGAACGACGCGAGAACGACGCAATGTACAATGATAACGATACGATGCAACACGAAATATCAGAACTCATCATTTTTCATATTATGTAATTACGAGATTATCACATTTCACCCAACCTCGTCATGTTGGGTTTTCACTGGGGCTGATCAGTGCATACCTTCAATATTGCGCAACTCGGGTCTCCATGATATGGCATAGCTCGGCTGGAATGCGTCCGTCCAGGAAATGTATTCATCCAGGTAAATGCCACTTTGACGAGTGAGGGGGGGAATGCCAGTATGACGAGTGAGGGAGGTGATATATTCGTCAAGGTAAATGCCGGCGTGATGAGTGAGGTTAATATTATTTTGATGAGTGAGGAGGAGCGGGGTTAGCAGCCAACCAGGAACAAGAGTGTGACGGCAATTCATCACAA